TCTCAGACCTCATGTGCTCCTCTAGTGTGAAAAACTCCAAAACTTTAATACACTGTAGAAAGACTTACTATTTCTGTCTTGCTCTGCCATCCTGGGACGCTTCATCCCATGAGTCTATGGTTTTTAATGTGTGAGTGTGCAAGTGTAATCCAGCATCTTGCACAATTAAGGTCAAACCTTCTACAATAGGCTCAACTAGAAATCATCACTTGGCAATGAAGCCTCTGATAACTCAGATGCGAGGCCCTCTCCTTAGCAACAGCATCTACCTGGCTAATGCCTGATTCTGCCGCAGCGAGTAAGATGCACAAAGGGAAACAGAAACAGTATTTCGTAGACTGACCCTAAGTGATCGACCTTCTCTTAGAAAAAGCAATCTTAATCATCAATTATTGTTCAGTTGATTATATTTGGATAGTGAAGGTATCTGACCAGAGGTAGCCAGAATTTTCAATGGTCATTAACATTTTCTGAATAAGAGAAAATTTGTTTTGAAGGCAAACGAGCAAATGTCCAGTTGAGTCACTGTTGCAAGTAAATAATTAGAAAATTGTACCGAAAGTAAAGGATGCACAATGAAAAGGCATTTAAATACTGCCCCTACTCAATGAAGCCTTGGGCCTGACTCTTTTTTTCACTTGGCCTCTCTCTCTGACCTACTTCTTTTCTTCTAAAGGACATTTTCCCCAAATGACAGTATTCAAAGAATAGCTAGAACAAGCCTGCGATGCAGACCATTGAATCCCAATTTCATTTAAACTACAATTCATTATTTTCTTCCTACACTTATTCAAGAACTCATTGTTCATTACTCTTTCATCACTCTGTGATTAGAACAATTTGTATGTGTCCCTTGTACATTGGCCAGATAATGAAACAATCATTTGTGCGTCTACACAGTATTTTACACTTATTGTTCACAATCTAATTCACTCTATCAAGCTATTTTACCATTCTCTAACAAGGAGGGGAGATATCTCTGAGACAGCTGGTAGATTGGGATAGTTCGTTTATCCATTCAACAAATATTTACTGGGCAATATCTATGTACTACACACTCTTCTAGACACTGTGAAAACAGAAGAATCCTTGTCCTTGTGGAACTCACATGCTAGAGAGGAGAGTCAGGCAATAAAGCAGTAAAACACATGGTATATAGTAGGGTAAAAAGTGCTCTCGGAAAGGCAACTACAGAAGGGGAAGGAAACTTCTGTAATTTTAAATAGAGTTATTAAGGAACATTACTTACTGAGAAGATGCCATTTGAACAAAGATCTGAAGGATGAAAGGGTGACAATAGCTTTGTTGAAACCTAGGAAAGAGCTCTCCAAGCAGAGAAAGTAACAGATGCAAAGGTCCTGGGGCAGGAGTGTGCTTAGGTGTATCTGAAGAACAGTTAAGAGCACCTACACTGGGCCTCCCCTCGTGGCTCAGTGGTTGAGTGCTGGGCTGCGAGGCTGCCTGCAGCCTCTGCAGCTCTGGTTCGATCCCCGGCCCTCGGCGAGGGTCCCACATGGCGCGCAGACCTCTCCTGCCGCGCCCGCTGCTCCCCTCATCAGTGTACTTCATCAGTCTGTCTGCTCTGCTCTCCGCTCTGGCTCTGGTGAATTCTCTCACCCTCCCGCGCTTCCAACTGTACCCAGTGCTTGTACAAATAAATAAATCTTAAAAAAAAAAAAGAGCACCTATACCTAGCATGGAGTGAGAGAGGCAAAGAAGAAATGGACATGAAGTCACACATGTAAAGGCAAGAGTATTGGTTATGTTCTTATAGGCCATCGTAAGAGCTTTGTCTTCTTTTTTGAATGAGGTGGGAAGTCTCTAGCCTAAAACTGATAGTCTTAGCATTTTTAACAGAATCACTCTGTTTGCTATGTTGAGAATTGATGACAGTTGCAGAGCAGTAAGATAAGTGGCAGAGAGACTAATTTGGACAGCAGTGAGCAGAGTGAGACACGGAGGCATGCTGTATAAGTTTCATAGGTAGAAACCTCAAGATTTGCCAACAGATTGGATGGAAGGTGTGAAAAGAAGCAAATTGATTCTTTGTTTTTAAAACACTAAGATTATTGAATGTTTGAAATCAAGGAGGCCTTAGAGATTATCTGATTCAATTCTTTCAGGGTATACTTAGGGAAATTGGGGTCAAAGTTGCAGGGCTGTGAGGTGCACAGCTGGAATTCCAGCTGAAACTTGGGCTTCCTGGCGCGTGTCCTTTAGTACATAGCTCTTTCCCTCATTGCACCATGGGTGAGAATGTTCAGATATATTCAAACTTTGAGGAGGCCGCAAATAAAGTGTTCTCTCAGTGTTAAGAGTTCAGATAAATATAAGAATCCTTATGACATCGAAGAGTAAGATGAATAGTGTTTTCATTTCCTTTTTATAAATCTGTTTCTAGTCAATCACTTAAAAAGATATCTGTTTTGCTCTCCAGATCACATATTAGTATGTAAAAGCAGGCATAATCTTCAGTTAGAAAAGGTCAGAACCTACATTTTGATGCTATAGCAAGCTGCTATTTCCCCCAGAAACTTGTGATCACTAATTTATTGAGGTCTTATGATATTAACTGATTTCTAAGTCACAAAATTAGATGTCGTTGTAGTCTAATGACACCTATGAATGACTGTCAATTTGCCCCACAGTTGTGAAAGGAGATGGTTCAGGCTATGTGCCTCCAAGGAAATGAATTTCCCTTAGCAAGTCCAAGTGGGTCAATCCAGGTAGTGTCCTCACTGTCCATCCCTTCTTCAGAGTCACATGTGATTCTAGAACAGGAAGAGAGTTTTGGTGTTCAAAAGCAAAGTTAGGCCTCCCCGGTGGAGCAGCGGTTGAGCGCTGGGTTGCGAAACTCCCCGCGGGCTCTGTGGCGCCGGTTCGATTCCCGGGTGCTCCCCGGCCACCAGAGGAGGGTCCCTCATGGCGCGCAGACCTCTCCTGCCGCCCGCTGCTCCCCTCAGCAGTGTACTTCGGTCCTTCTGCCTGTTCTGCTCCCCCCTCTGGCTCTGGTGAATTCTCTCACCCTCCCGCGCTTCTGACTGTACCCGGTGCATGTATAAACAAACAAACAAACAAATAAATAAATAAAAATACATGCCTCTTTAAAAAAAATTTTTAAAAAAATCAAAAGCAAAGTTACAGTTTAGGTAGATCCCAACTTTTTGAAATCAAATTGGACTGGATTCAAAAAGGCAATATTATGAGCTCTGGGGTTCATGTATGAGCTTTCCTTTCTCTCCATATACGCCTTATATCGCCTCAAATGGGCTTGAATAATTCTGAAATAGAGTATTGTGAAGTAACTGAATTTTCCCTCTTCGTGGTGTCAGATTGAGCTGGCAATTTCCACATCATCCCTACCTCTCAGAGAAAGGCATGCACTGGACTGTATTTCCCAGGGAATTATTTCTATGACCTCCTTGGAGAACTAGGTGAGATCTGCTGGTCAGTGGTCACCTAGTCCACTGTAACAGACACAGGAATAGGCCAGGTGGGGGCAGCAAAGGGCTGATCACGGAGCATGATTAGGGTTCAGCTTCAAGGAATTCGCCCTGAAGGGTGATGTAAAGAGGTTCATGCCTGATCCAACATCTTTATTAGGAGGACAAGGTTCTTAGGATTAGATGAGAGTGGGAGGAAGTGGGAGATGTTCCACAGAGGAATGAGGCCAATTCCGGAGCACTAGGAGGGAAGGGGACTCTATCTGTAAGGGAGTCAAAATGAAAGCAAGAAAGGGGCGTCGGAACTTTGTGTAACCTGTTTTGAGCCTGATACTTTACCTGTCATAATAACTATCATTTAGGTTAAAATGAATATCATTTTTCAATCAGTGACTTTGCATTTTTCAATCACTTGTGCTAGGTTGCTAAATGTTTATTTTCAGTATATAAATACATACGCATGGACACATACACACACATTAGGCTATGAAATCAATGGAGAAGGGTAGGTAGAGAAGACTCTCAAGGGCAGAGCTCTGGGCATTAAATTTGTTTGGAAGTGAGAGAGAACAAGTAAAAAGCCCTAAAAAGGAACATGTAGTTGCTATAGAACTATCTATATCTATATCTAATCTATCTATGTGTCACTTATAAATTATATGCAATGTTTCATTATATAGAATATATACTTCAGTATTATATAACATAATTTATAATCTTAGAAAGAAAAAGTAGGAATCTCTCATCCTGAATTCATTAAGCTTGTTCTCAGAAAAACATTGTTATGTGTGTGTGTGTGTGTGTGTGTGTATTGTGTATTTATATTTATTTATTTACTAGGGTGAAGTTGACATAACAAAATTCACCACATCAGCTGCATTATTTTACAATGCCAACAGCAGTGTTCCAGTATTTCCACCTCTTCACCAGCACGCTATTTGTCATGTCCTTTTGACTAGGCAGCCTCATGGGTGTGAAGTGATACCTCCTTATGGTTTTCATTACATTTCCTAATGATTAATGGTGTTGAGCACCTCTTCAAGTACATATTGGTCATTTGTGTATCTTCTTTGAAGAAAGAACAACTGTCTATTCAAATATGTCCATTTTTTACCTGGTTATCTCTCTTTTTACTACTGCATTGTAAGCGATCTTCATATATTCTGGACTGAATCATTTATCACATATATGATTTGCAAATGTTTTCCCCCATTCTGTGGGCTAGCTTTCCACTTCACTGATAATGTCCTTGGAAACACAAAAGTTTTCAATCCAGTTTATTTAAATTTTGTAGATTTGTGTTTCAGGTATCACATCTAAGAAACTCATGCCTAATCCTGTTACAGGGCAGGGAGAGGGGCAATCCATGACCCCCAATCCTGCCCACTCTAAATGGATTCTGCCATCCGCTGCATAAAAATAAAACTTATTCTCGTGGGTAAGACCTTCAATGGAAAGGAACTTTAATACAGTTAGTGTGATAAAGAGAACAGAAAGGATACAGTTTCCACAGGCAGCACCCAAAGTTACCCACCCCCTTGTGGGTAGATGCCCAGCCAAGCAGCGTTGGCCCAAAGCAGGACTGCTGAGGCCCAAAAGCCACCCACAAGTCTAAGGCACCTGCTGGCGGGGACCCACAGGAAAGGGGCAGAAGAAGCCCAGCACATCTGGGAAGAGGAGCAAAATCAAAATCAAGGTAAATGCTGTCCTTGTTAACCTCCCCACGGGTCTCTCCCCACATCTGCTTCAACCGGTCCAGGACCAAGAAGCAAGTGCAGCTTCTTCACATGTCTCTCTGCTCCAGGTGCCTCCTCCAGGTCTCCTCCTGGCTCTCCATTCTTCTCCCTTCCTTCCTCAGTCTCCTCTCCAGCTTCTTGTCCTTCCTGCTTAGTTCCACCCTTCTTGGGATGGGGCAGGAAACCTGGAAACTCCCCTTTTCCTGGGGACCACCCTGTTACAAAATGGCACATTTTATTATTATATTTGACCTCACAAATGAAACTTGTTGAAATATCATACTTTTTTAAAGATTATTTATTTATGCATATAAGAACGGGGTACAGGCCAGAGGTTTGGGGGGTGGTGAGAGGATTCACCAGAGACAGAGTGGGGAACAGAACAGGCAGACTGACTGAAACACACTGCTGAGGGGAGCAGCAGGTAAGACAGGAGAGGTCTGCTGCGCCATGTGGGTTTCTCCCTGGCCAGGGATCAAACTGGTGCTACAGTGGCTGCGGATAGTTTCATAGGATGTATCTTAACTCCTTGAGCCACCAGGGAGGCCCTCAGAGCCATTTTAATGCTTTAATGACTCATCTTTGCCTGCAGATCTTGCATCTCAAGTCTTCTACTGTAAGCTTCCATCTAGTGCTATCATAGCAGCTCTTTCTGCTCACTTGTGTCAGTGCAAGCATCTTCTCCTTCCCTTTCTTCCTAATAAATCTGCCCTTTCTGGAAAAAAAAAGAAACAAAAGTGCTATTACAATTTATATGTTAAAATAACTTGTGTAATTTACTATTTATTATATTTATGCTTATTCGATGCTGCATTACTTAACAGTAAATATAGTTTTTATGTGTACTAAAACTTTTTTTCAAAGATTAATTTTTTTATTATTTATGCATACAAGAACTGGGGTGTAGGTCAGAACTGCAGGGGGTGAGAGGTTTCATCAGAGACAGAGTTGGGAGCAGAACAGGTGGATCTACTGAAATACACTGCTGAGGGGAGCAGCGGGGAGACAGGAGAGGTCTGCTGCACCATGTGGGTCAGCTCCCTGGCCGGGATCGAACTCGTTCTGCAGTGGCTGCCAATAGCTGATAGCTTCATAGTGCTGAGACTTAAAACCCCTTGTGCTACCAGGGAGGCCCCTAAAGTTGTAGAACTCTTATTATTTAAAATAGTTATAGCAATATTGTGTCCTCATTATCATTTGTTTCAAGGTATTGTTTTATTTCTTCTTTGATTTCCTCATTAACCCCGTGGTCTTTTATAGCTTGTTCAGTGTCCATGTAATGTGGAATCTCTTTTTGCTTCCTTTTTGTAGCTCATTTCTCATTTGATGCCTTCATGGTAAGAGAAGATACTTGGTATGATCGATCTTCATGTACTTGTTGATATTTGTCTTGTGACCTAGTATGTGGTCAATCCTGGAGAATGATCCATATGCATTAAAAAAAAGGAATATTTGGTTTTGAGGGTGTGCAGTGTCCTATAAATGGCCACTGTTGGGCCCATGTGGTCTAAATCTTTGTTAAGGGCCATTGTGTCCTCATTTATTTTCTGTCGTATTGATTTGTCCATTGGTGACTGTAGGGTGTTGACGTCTCCTGCCACATATGTGTTTTTTCTGATGTATGCTTTCAGAGATGACAGTAATTGTCAAATTGTATTTTGGTGCTCCTTCATCGGGCGAGAATATCGATGAGTGTTTAGTTGCCCTGGTGTAATATCCCCTTGATATAGTTAGTGTCCATTCACATTTCTCGTCACCATTTTCAGCTGAAAGTCTATTTTATTTCATATAATTATGGCTGCCCTTGCCTTCTTTTGGGTGCCATTTGCTTGTAGAATAGTTTTCTAACCCTTTACTTTCAATCTTTGGAACTTAAGTGTGTTTCCTGGAGGAAATAATACGGTAGTAGTTAGAGAGAATTAAACACTGCAATGACCTCTGTTTGGCCTCACAAATTTCTCACTTCTGCTTCCTATGGCTGAACCCAACTGTTCAAATGTTGGGTAATTCCATTTACATGAAAAAGTCCAGAATAGGGAAATTCATATAGACTGAAAGTAGACTGGCTGGGGAGACAGGGTAGAGGGCCAGGAGGGAAGGGACTACTTAGTAGTGGTTTGGGAACTACTTGTGGTTAAACAATTTTATGAATATACTAGAAAGCACTGAATTGTTCATTTAATGGTCCTGAATCTCACCTCAGTAACAAAATATCACATAATTTGGGTTTCCAGGGGATGGGAATTGTACTTCTATGTTCTTTCCACTTGAAGGCCTTTGAAGATTTGAGTGTAAAAAATGGAAATAACAAATCATACCACTCCCCATGTGCACAAGGGCCCTTGTCTCATTCAGTTCCTTTGTCTCACTTACTCCCTCCTCCAGTTTTCCTTCTTAATAGTATCTTCCTATCCATCTTGAAACAGTTACTATGTAGGTTGTATTCCTGGCTCTGACCAATATGAATGATTTTTTTTTTTAACCCAAGTATGCTGCTTATTAAGTTTGCTTTCAGCTTACAGTTTGGATTTAAACTGTTTTCACCAAATCAGGAAGACAGTTACATGTTACTTTGTCTTTTGTTTACCCAGAACTTTCCAGAGTTTCTATAACCTCAGCACAGGAACAGATTTCCAAGTACTGACTTTGGGTTCTTCCCAAGTCCAGCCCAGTGTTAACTGACCCAGTGCCCTCATTGCTCCCCTGAACCCCTACTCTGATGTTTTCCCATTTCCTTCACCCCATAGCAGCAGGAGAGAGTGGAAAAAGAGGCTCAGAGAAGCTTCATGCCTGAGGCTGCATTTGAGCTGTGCCCTGATGGGTGGGTAGAGATGAAGGGACAGGACGTTCCACTAACAGGCAACCACACAAAAGGCATGACTCCTGCGTGTAGAGGCCTAAAGCACAGCCATTGGTGCGAGAGGACCGTGGGTTGAGATTCCAGTCTGCCATTTCCTAGTGCCTGATCCTATCCCTGAGGCCTCTCAACCCATTCTGTGCATCTGGTTTCAAAGATTAGACCCCTCTCCCTATGGAATGACCCTAATGTACATGAGCACTTTTCAGGTGGGCAGCTGTTTAGGCTCAGTTTCCACTCCAGAGAGAGTTGGGCCGCTGGTATTGCCTCCATTTCTCTTTTACAAAGATAGTTGCTATGGGTGGAGAAGAAGTAGTTTGAATTATCTGGTAAGGTCAGTTGTGTATTTGTCTTGACTTTGTTCCTAAAAGCAGAGATTATTAGTAGCACTTTCTAGAATGAGTTTATGAAACACAAAGTTGAAAAAGACTGTTCACGTATTTTTTAATTCATCATCAGTACCAATCACAGTCTGATATGAGTTTCTTTGCCCTTAGCTTCTCTTTTGCCTCCCACAATTCCTGCAACCACAATTTGCAAGCAAACAGGCCTAGGATAAATCTGCAACCAATAAGGACCAAATACCTGGGAATGGGGCAGGGTTCCACTTAAAGAGAAAGTTTGAATAGTTGGTACCCCTGTCAATCAGTCTTCCCCAACCATTCAGGATCTTTGTGGGCGGAGCCTAAGAATGGCTATAAAGGGAGCTCAACTGCCTGAGTTCAGGCCCATTTCATCCTGCGGTGTATGGTGGAAGCTTGTGTTACAGGTGAGGGAACATGGCGGCGTTCCCATGTGAGATCATGAGGTTTATTTAATTCTTGTTATTGATAGCTGGCTATTTGTGGTATGCTTTCTGTAGATGGGTATATAGAACGTATTGCTATACTTTAATAATACGATTAACAATATACTTTAATAGTCTGAAGGGCTTTGGATACGTGACTATGTGGTTCCCTTAGCTGAATTTGGGCATAGTGTTGCGCTTTATGTTACAACGTGATGACTTTAATATTTTATTCCTTTAATTATTGATCTGGGTTCCGTCTTGTATGTAGTATTAAGACACTGTGTTGTTTTCAGCTTAAAACTAGGGAAATGATGCTTGCATGAGCAGGTGCAGGACAGCGCTGTGGCTGCCAGGGAGCTGATTTTGCCTTTGATTTTTTTTTTTTTTTTTTATCACTGAGTGATTATTGTTGTATGTATTTGTTCAATTTTTAGTCTTGGCCCCTGTGATTCTGTTCTTTTCCACCTGAAAAGGACAAAATGCACATGCCGAGAAATTGTGTTTTCGATTAGGACAGTTAATGGCAGTTGGCAGCCCTCACGTGCAGTTTTGCGGGTTTTCTTATTCTTACATATCATTTCTCTAGTAAAATTTTGGAATCATACCCTGACAATACACAATTTTTTTTTTTTAAGTTTCATGGTGTTTTAACTTGAAAATGAAGACGCGGGCAGCACAGGGCTTGTTCACCAGCAACCTTAAATTTTAATAACCTGGCGCCGTGGATGCGCGTTCGCATTTTTATCTGATATGTACACATGTGTGTATTTAATAGCGTTGCGCACAACCTAACAACTTCGTGTTGCTTTTCATATGTTCTCCTTGAAAAAAATGGTCTTATTTGTACTTGCTGGTATTTGCAAACACCTTGGATACCCGTAAACTTCTTTTAAGCCGTTATGGGGTGGGTGCCTTTCAGCATTTAATTGAACAAAACAGCTTTTTGTTCATCTTTCCTGGTAATCAGTTAAATTTCGGTGTTGGCAATTGCATAGGTTTTTTGTGGAAAATTTTGAACAAACTTCAATTTACAGTGGAAAAAATAATTGGATTGAGGGTCTTTTATTTGATAATCTGGTGTATTTGGTGCAAATTTATTTGTCTAAATTTGATCTTGCCTCCACTTGACACAGTTCCTTAAAAATAAACATTTGATGGGTGCTCAAGATTTACAAATGCGGAATTTGTCCTTCATATTTTAGGGCAGTGACTACACCTGAGTGTCCGTGCCATTGAAGGCAGTTCGGTATTTTATTTTACAGCGGAATTGTGCGTGCGGCATCCTTTGATTCCACTCAGTGTAGTTTTTGGTA